TGCTGGGATTACAGGCTTGAGCCACCGCGCCCGGCCGGGTTTCTTTTTTTTAAATATATATTTATTTATTTATTAGGGACAAGGTCTTTCTCTGTCAAGGAGTGCAGGCTGGAGTGTAGTGGCACGATCACGATTCACTGCAGCCTTGAACTCTGTGGCTCAAGCAATCCTCCTACCTCAGCTTCCCAAGTAGCTGGGACTATAGGTGTGCACCACTACACCTGGCTAGTTTTTTTAATTTTTATTTTTTGTAGAGACGGAGTCTCCCTGCGTTGCCCAGGAAGGCATCAAACTCCTGAGCTCAAGCGATCCTCCCCCTTCAGCCTCCCAAAGCATTGAGATTATAGGCGTGAGCCACTGTGCCCAGCCCTGCCTGGGTTTTTAGATGTTAGCGAGGAAAGCAAGGGATAAATAAGTGAGCCATTTGCTAGCCAGCCAGAGTGCCTTGCCAGCCCTGATCCAGGTGTTTTTCAAACTCAACTCACTGGAGTAAAAAGGTAAAGGAGAGGGCCCTTGGTGGACTCTGACTCCCTCCCCAGCTTTAACCAGAGCAGCTCTGCTGTGATGTGTGTATGTATTGGGATTCTACTGCTGGGATGGGAACAGGAGCTCCTTCACTGGAAACAGACAGCTGATTGTCTCTTCTCCCTGGCCTTCAGGCTGTGGGCACTGCATAGCATCATGGGCTTAAAGGAGGCCATCCAGATGTGCTATTTATGCAGTCATTGGGGAAATGGTCAAAAAGCAAACTGAAGATGGCTGTCTGGTCACTGGAACCAAGCCACAGCCTGAGGCTTGAAAAAAATTTGGAAGTTCCTGACAAGGAGATGGCAGCAGGTCCAGAGGACCTGCTAGGTCCTCTAGGTCTTGGGTCCAGAGGACCCAAGCAAGGGGAACACGCAGGGCACAGCTCAGAGTCAAAATGCTGAGTGTCTGCTTGTCAGACGTTGATATCACATCTAAAGGTAAGACAGAGAGAGACAAGGGAGTCTGAGATCTGGGACAAAGGAGGTCTTGGACTCTGCTCTGCCTGGGTTTCTGGTGGGCTGAATGAAATCTGGTTGGTGGGTTGGTGTGGGCTTAGGTGTGGCTAGAGGCTATGTCTCAGGACTGACTTTGCCTTTGACTTAAAGGACCAGACACTGAGGACCCAGGTCCTCATAGCTCATCAAATCTTAAGGGTGGAAGGGATATCAGAATCACCCAAGCCTTATCACTACTTGAATCCTCCTCATAACACAGTCAGAAAGTGGACACCTGCCCATGCTCAGCCACTCCCTGTGAGTGGCCATGGTTGGCAGCAAGGAGCCAGAGGCTACAATGAGACTGTGAGCAGACTTAGCGCTCTTCTCAAGCAGGTGCCTTGTTGTCCATGAAGATTGGCTACTGCTGCCTTACACCTAATGACCTTTGGAATTGGAAAACTCTTCTCCCCATGAAATGTATAGATCAAGCTATAATGCACCCAGATTCAGCTTGTGCAGCTTTCATTTCAGTGTTGTCTCTTCCTCTTATTTTCTTTGCAAATGGCTTCTGTATGTAACAACTTTCATAGCTTATCCCAATTCCTACCCAGAAGTGATGGTAAATTGCCAAGTTCTCTGAAAAACTCATGGAAGACTACCATGTACAAAATCTGGGGGGACAGAGTTTAAGACTAGCCCTGGCAACATAGTGAGACCTCATATCTACCAAAAAAAAAAAAAAAAAATCAGCTGGTGGTTAAGGTGGAAGGATCACTTGAGCCTGGGAGTTTGAGGCTGCAGTGAGCCATGGTCATACCACTGCATTCCAGTCTGGGCAACAGAGCAAGACCCTGTCTCAGAAAAAAAAAAAAAAATTCTGAGGGGAGACATCACCTAAGAAGGAGGCTAGAGCCCCAGTGAGGTAGGTAGATGCTCACCAGTTCTTTCAGCAAATTCTTCTGCCCTTCCTGCATCCCCTCGTCGTACCTGAAAGGGGAAGGCTCATTTCCTCTTTTTTCAAATTGTTAGGTACCTGGAATTGCTTGCCCTCTCCTTGAATCCCACTCTGGAGGGGTTAGGGAAGGAAAAGGAGGGAAGGAACCTCATGGTTCTCCTTACCTGGTTGATCAGGGAACATTCTGCCAAGCAATGAAGATGCTAAAACCCCAGGGGTGATCCAGCAATTCCATTCCTAGGTATATACCCAAAGAATTGAAAACAGGTTTTCAAAAAAAAATTATACCCAGTAGTCATAATACACAATACACAATAGCCAAAAGGTAGAACAACCCAAATATCCACCAACTAATGAATGGATAAACAAAATGTAGTATATCCATACAATAGAATATTATTCAGCCATGAAAAGGAATGAAGTTCTGACACATACTACAATGTGGATGAACCTTGGAAACATGCTAAGTGAAAGAAGCTAGACACAGAAAGTCACGTATTCTATAGTTCCATTTACATGAAATATCCAGAACAGGGAACCCCATAGAGAAAGCTCATCAGTAGTTGCCAGGGCTTGGGCAGTGGCAGTGGAGGGTGAATAACTATTAGTGGATATGGAGTTTCCTTTTGGGTTGATGAAAATGTTCTGGGACTAGACAGTGGTGATGGTGGCAAGTGTGAATCCACCAGTTTCCATTATATGGTTCTCTTTAAAGTGGCTAAAATGGTTAATTGTATGGGATGTGAATTTATCTTAGTCTGTTTGGGCTGCTGTAACAAAACACCATAAACTGGGTAGCTTATAAACAACAGAAATTTATTTCTCATGGTACTGAAGGTGGGAAGTCCAACATCAAGGTGGTGTTGTCTGGTGAGGGCCCACTTCCTCATTGACGGAGCCTTCTTGCTGTGTCCTTACATAGTCAAAGGGGTGAAAGTATCTCTCTCACACTAGGGTCTCGCTCTGTTGCCCAGTCTGGAGTACAGTGGCGAGATCACAGCTCACCACAGCCTCAACCTCCTGGGCTCAAGTGGTCCTCCCGCCTCAACCTCCTGAGTAGCTGGGACTACAGGTATGTGCCACTACGCTCAGCTACTTTTTGTACTCTTCGTAGAGATGGAGTTTCACCATGTTGTCCAGGCTGGTCTTGAACTTCTGGGCTCAAGCAGTCCACCTGCCTCGGCCTCCCTAAGTGCTGGGATTACAGGCATGAGCCACTGCACCCAGCCTCGGGCCTTTTTTATACAGGCACTAATCCCATTCCTAATTACCTTCCAGAGGCCCCATCTCTTAATACTGTCACCTTGGGGATTAGCATTTTGACACATGAATTTGGGGGGAAAGACACATTCAGACCATAGCAGAAAGGAAAGGTGAATCCAGAACATCCCTCTGGGTTTTGTTTCCCTATCTGTAACATGGGGATAACAGTGCCTCCCATTCCCCACGCCCCCAGAGTTGGCATGAGTAATACAGCAAGCAATTGTGTTATATAAAATGTCTAGCATACAATATGCACTCAAAATAAATGTTAATTGCTTTTTTTCCTATAAAAGTGTCTAACCTATTCGCTTCATTGTCTTTCCTCTCTCTATCTCTATCATCTCTTTCTTTCTTTTTTGAGACAGGGTCTGGTTCTGTAACCCAGGCTGGAGTGCACCAATCACTGCTCACTGCAGCCTCCGCCTCCCAGGCTCAAGCGATCTTCCCATCTCAGCCTCCTGAGTAGCTGGGACTATAGGCACGCGCCACCACGCCCAGCTAACTTTTTGTTTGTTTGTTTGTTTGTTTTTTGGTACGGACAGGGCCTCACTATGTTGTCCAGGCTGATCTCGAACTCCTGGACTCAGGTGATCCTCCTGCCTTGGCCTCCCAAAATTCTGGGATTACAGGCATGAGCCACCGCGCCCAACCTGTTTTCTTTATTTCTTATGACTGTGGTTTGTGGCTCTAACCAGACAACCTGTCCTCACATGAGGGCTTTGCCCACTCCTCACTGCACAGGGCAGGCTGTTCCACCATCTGGGATGTCCCACCTCGTCTGTTACAGGCCACTGTGGTCTTTGGGCCACTATCATAGAGTCACCTGAGAGCTGATTCTGTGATGTTCGCCCATTGAATCAGACTCTGAGAGTAGTTGGGGGAAAAGATCTAGGGGTCTGCATTTACATTTTTATTTTTAAATTATTACTCTGTACTTTATTTATTTATTGAGACTGAATCTCACTCTACTCTGTAATTGATATAAATACTAACATTTTTACTAAGTGCTCTAGGTGATGATCATGCATATTAAAGTTGGAGAGCACTTTAATTTATGTTTTTACCATCTATTCCAGGAAGTCTGCCCACATTTCTCCCTTGCTCCTTACCTAAGTCTAAGGTTCTGAGGGTCAGGGTCAGATTCCCATTGAGTTCTGCTGGGTGTGCTGTCTCCCATTGGATTGGGGAAGCCCCAGGGACAGATATCTTGCCCTTTCTTTACTCTCCTCACCCTAAGCCCAGATGTTCCTGGTTCTTCTGAGTGTGGATTCTCCTAGGATGCTGTAGGAAATGCAACACTTTAAAGTTCTTAGAATCCTGTTTTTTGGCCAGGTGCAGTGGCTCACATCTGTTATCCCAGCACTTTGGGAGGCCGAGGTGGGTGGATCACTTAAGGTCAGGAATTCAAGACCAGCCTGGCCAACGTGGTGAAACCCTGTCTCTACTAAAAATACAAAAATTAGCCTGGCGTGGTGGCACATGCCTGTAATCCCAGCTACTCAAGTGGCTGAGGCAGGAGAATCGGTTTAACCCAGGAGGCAGAGGCTGCAGTGAGCACAGATTGTGCCACTGCACTCCAGCCTGGGTGACAGAGTGAAACTGTCTCAAAAAAAAAGATTCCTGTTTTTTGGTTTTTTGTTGTTGTTGTTTTTAGTGTTTTGTTTTGTTTTGTTTTTGTTTTTGTTTTACCTCTACAGATACTTGGGAGAACCTAGCTTCTCTGTCTTCCTACGATTCTATTCTGACTTTTCTAGATGGTATAGAAATTGTATCACTGTGTTACATCACCCTTTGCCTTTCCAATCCCATCTTACCCAGGATGTGCTAGGTGTGGGCCGGACCCCACCCGACCCTGACAAGTGACCATGGATCCTGGAGCCGGGTCAGAGACATCTCTGACTGTCAATGAGCAGGTATCTTCTGAGGTGGGAAGAGGGGGAGTAAGGGTGATGGACTGAGGGGTGTGGGAAGACCCCACAGGGCCTGTCCCTGTTCATTTCTTACCAGGGTTCACCGCCCTTCACCTGTCCAGAGGTACTTGCCATTTAGGATTTCTCAGGGTCTGGGTTTGGGGAGTGAAGCTGTGACTTTAAGATGTCAAATCAAAGTGTACATAGTATGTTTAAGTTTACATGGAGGAAGTTTTGAACATCAGGTAATTTACTCTTTAGTTTTTCTTACTGCTTACACATATTTTCTAATTTTTTTTTGCAAATTACTATTACTTATATAATTTTTTAAAAGGAGAAAAAAGGCCAGGCACAGTGGCTCATGCCTGTAATCCCAGCACTTTGGGAGGCTGAGGCGGGTGGATCACCTGAGGTCAGGAGTTCGAGACCAGCCTGGCCAGCATGGTGAAACCCCGTCTCTACAAAAAATAGAAAAATTAGCCGGGCGTGGTGGCGGGTGCCTGTAATCCCAGCTACTTGGGTGGCTGAGGCAGGAGAATTGCTTGAGCCCAGGAGGTGGAGGTTGCAGTGAGCCGAGATCGCGCCACTGCACTCCAGCCTGGGTGACAGGGCGAGACTCCGCCTCCAAAAAAAAAAAAAAAAGAAAAGAAAAGATGAATTTCTCTGAAAATGTAATTGGAGTGAAGCCTGTCATAGGGCAAACTGGAGGCAGCACAAGAGCTGCTTGTAGGATGTATTTCACTCATCTCATATTCTCCTGATGGGTCACATTGTCACTTTTTCCAGCACAGCCTCTGACTGGATCCACTTTCAGGCTTAAAGAGTGTTGTGAGAGTGATTTCAGGCACAGGCCAAATGCAGAGAGGCCTGACACAAAGCTGTTTAATTTACATACTTTGTCTCTTATTCTTAAATGGGCCAATTGGCAGGGTTTCCGTGCTGGTGATGAAGAGCTAGTGTGGGGCATCTGGGCAGGGGAGGGAGACCGAGTGTTCCAAGGAGGCTCAGGGTCCACCTGCATCACTCATGCATGGAGATTGCCCTTGAGGTCTGAGCATGCCCACAGCAGGTGGCAGGACTGGAGCCACAGACCCATAGGATAAAAAGCTGCAGTCAGGCCAGGCGCGGTGGCTCACGCCTGTAATCCCAGCACTTTGGGAGGCCGAGGTGGGCGAATCACAAGGTCAGGAGATTGAGACCATCCTGGCTAACACAGTGAAACCTCGTCTCTACTAAAAATACAAAAAAATTAGCTGGGCGTAGTGGCGGGCGCCTGTAGTCCCAGCCACTCGGGAGGCTGAGGCAGGAGAATGGCGTGAACCCGGAAAGCAGAGCTTACAGTGAGCCGAGTTCATGCCACTGCTCTCCAGCCTGGGTGACAGAGCAAGACTCCATCTCAAAAAAAAAAAAAAACCAAAACTGCAGTCCAGGAGCGGTGCCAGGCAGAGAGGGAGAGGATGCATCTTCAGGATTCTTGACTCTTGTTTTAGGAATTTAGCTTGCAGGGAAATCCTGAGCCTTTACTCTAGAGGTTTGGAAATAAAGGAATCATGGGCCATAAAAGTTACTCAGCATTGTGGCGCATTCATTTTCCATCCCTTTATCTTTGGGGAACTTTCAGATGATTTCAAGGGAAGTGAAGAAGGATTTGCTTCCTGGCCCAACTTAAGCTGTGGATGCCATGTTAGGAGCCCTCATACCCACTTTCCAAGATCCTAGCTGCCAAGAGGACATCCTTGCAAGTTGTAGGATAGGCCATCCACCACTCCCTGCACTGAGTCCAAGAGATGGAACAAAGACAAACCAGCTCTCAAATGGTTTGGCTCTGGGGGACATTTTTCTAGCTTGCGTCAGGCCCTTCTCCCTGTCACCAGGGCCTGCTTTCTTCCAGCAGCTCCTTCCCTGGAATGAGGGAGCTGCAGCCTGCCCCAGGCTCTGGAATTCTCACAGAGCACACAGCCCCTCTGGACAGGAGGTCTGCATCCCGAAATGCCCTCCCCTCTCTCCCGCAACCATACCCAGAACTCTCTCCTGCAACCATACCCAGTATACCCTGTGGTTATACTGGCCCCTCCCCCAACAGTGCCCCCCGTCCTCTGCTTGCAGGTCATCGTGATGTCAGGTCATGAGACCATCCGAGTGCTGGAAGTCGGAGTGGATTCCCAGCTCCCTGCTGAGGAAGAGAGCAAAGGACTGGAGGGTGTGGCCGCCGAGGGCTCCCAGAGCGGAGACCCTGCTGAAGCCAGTCAAGCTGCTGGTAAAGCTGGGCCAGACAACCTGGGCTCCTCTGCAGAGGCAACTGGTACGAGGCCGTCAGCCCCACCTGGTACTGCTCCACCTGAGTGCTGAGTGCCTCCTGTGGTCCCTGGGGAGCCAGCACGAATCCCTGGGGCTCAGGTGGTTTTCGGGTCCTGTCCGCCTGCCCACTGGACAGCCTGTGCCTCTGGTCAGCTGCTAGGGCTACTCTACACTCCTTGTTTCTGGAGTTTTAGTTCTAGTCTGAGTCACTTCCAGGCCTAAACTGGGGTGGATCAGGGTGAGGTGGGAGGAGACCTGGTAGCACTGAGCTTAGGGGGTTGAACGTGGGAGGTGAACCCAATGAGCTGTGGGGGATCAGGCACTGCTCCCTGGCTTTGGGGCACCCTCTCATCAGTCTTCCTCATTAACACCTTGCAGAGTAGTCATCTCCTTTTGCAGGAAGCCTTAGGCCTCCTTTTTCAGTTTCCCCAGAACACCCCAATTCATTGCCCCTTGACTTCTGCTGCACATTCCCGCTTCCCTTGACTGGAGATCTGGACTGGTGGGGGGTGGGCCAAGACGAGGAGGCAAACTTCAGAAAAGCAACAGCTCCGTAACAAGAAAACTGCATGGCCACACATTACTTGCTCTACCTTCACATCAGTGTGTAAATTCTTTGGAACCCTAGTAACGTTAGTCATTTTCTTTCCTTTTCGGATAAAGGAATGACAAGAGACATGATCGAAAATTTTTCCCTAGCCTGGAAATGCTGTGCTTCCATGTTGAGGCCAGGATGAGTCATCACCTGTTCCCAAGGGGCAGTGCCCTGGAGACCAGGCAGGGAAGACAAGGACCCTACGTCTCTGCCACTCCTTCCATTCAGCATAGCCATTGTGCAGTGGAGCCCCTTTTCAGAAAACAGGGGAAGTTTCTCAGGTTTATTCACCATGCCCTCACTTCGCTTTTCACCCATTTATCCATCTTCCTATCTCATTTCCTCTGGTGCCTTAATTCTGCTCCTTGCCCAAATTCACTCTCAGAAATGGATCCTAAATCAATGATTTTCATGAGTGTTTGTGTAGTGTACATCTTCTCCAGGAGTTTGCGTGTCTAAGCCTTTCGCAAAAGGCTCTTCCTCTATAAAGGAATTTTAGTCATCATCAACCAGGTAAGGGAGGTATTTTGCTGGTGTCACCTAAGCTGCCAGCTTAAAGTGATGGGAACTTTCTAGATGTGCAGGATTAAGAAGGGTTTCCTGTTTTTAAAACAAAACTAAGTAACAGGAAACTTTTCCAGGATGAAAACAGAATCTATTGGTTTGTGTCATTTTAAATTACTATCCAGTCTTTGTCACACATACATATTTTTATTGCTGTGGCCACTGAGGGTAGACTAAGTAGTATGATACCACCACGTAATTTCATGTACCTATGTCTTTTACTGACATAGAGTCACACACCTGCTTCTGGTTTTGGCCATTGTCAAATTGTCTGGGTTTTCATTTTCATAAACAGTGCTGCTTTGAATGTTTTTGTATTGGTCCTTTAAAAAATTTTGTGTGTGACAGTCTACTAAAATTCCCTTTGAGGCCAGGCGCAGTGGCTCACGCCTATAATCCCAGCACTTTGGGAGGCCTAGACAGGCAGATCACCTGAGGTCAGAAGTTCAAAACCAGCCTGGCCAACATGGCAAAATCCCATGTCTACTAAAAAATTACAAAAATTAGCCAGGTGTGGTGGCACACGCCTGTAATCCTGACTACTTGGGAGGCTGAGGCAGGAGAATTGCTTGAACCCGGGAGGCAGAGGTTGCAGTGAGCAGAGATCGTGCCATTGAACTCTAGCCTGGACAGTAGAGCGAGACTCCATCTCAAATGAAATGAAATGAAATGAAATAAAATTCCCTTTGAAGGGAAATTAATTATTAACATAGGAGAAAGTCATTTCATGGAAAAATATAAAATCTTGCTATCAATGAGAAGAAAAGTAATTGACTTTAAGGTATGAGATGCCTGTTAAGCCAGAAAATAAATAAGCAATGATAAAACCTATATTGGTGGCCGGGCGTGGTGGCTCATGCCTGTAATCCCAGCAGTTTGGGAAGCTGAGGCGTGCAGATTACTTGAGCTCAGGAGTTTGAGACTAGCCTGGGTAACATGGCAAAACCCCATCTCCACACACAAAAAAATACAAAAATTAGCCAGGTGTGGTGGCAGGTGCCTGTAGTTCCAGCTGCTCCTGAGGCTGACATGGGAGGATCACTTGAGCCTGGGAAGCGGAGGTTACAGTGAGGTGAGATTGCACCACTGCACTCCAGCCTGGGTGATAGAGTTGAGACCTTGTCTCAAAAACAAACAAACAAACAAAAAAACTATATTGAGTGGTGCTGTGGAGAAACAGGTACATCATTGCTGGTTCTCTGAGTTCCTTTAGTCTTTCTCTGCAGTCCAGCAGGAAGCAATAGCAGCCCTAATGTATGTAAAACCTTGGACTCCATGGTCCTACTAAATATGCCCTAATAAAATGAATATTTTGCTTCTTTAGAGGGTAAGCTTTCATCATTTATGTTTGTCACTTTCCCATTTTCTCACTTACTTGTTATGTTTTGTCACATTTTGTCCAACAAAATGTTTTTTAAATTTTCATATGTTCAAACTCTCCTTATGTTTGCTGATTTTTTTCTGTTTTATTTTTTTAACTCATTTTTATTTTTTCTGAAGAACTGGTTCTTGTTTTGTTTCCCAGGCTGATCTGGAAACTCCTGACTTCAAGCGATGCTACCACCTCAGCCTCCCAAAGTGCTGGGATTACAGGCGTGAGCTACTGCACCCCGCCTGATTTTTTTTTTCCAGTAGTTAGAAATGTGTCTTCCCGCCACAGAGGAGATAAATCTGTTATTTTGTTTTCTTTTACTATTTCATAAGGCCTTTGTTGATGTGTGCTTGTCTCTTTAATTCCTTAAACTACCTAGGTTTTGTTATTGTATGCTGTGAAAAGTATAGTCCTAAGTTGAAGTTGAAGCCTTCCCAAGTTGAAACATGGGCTAGGACTGCAGGGTTGGACAGAACCTTTGTGGTTATCTGATTCAGTGGTTCCCACTCTTGGCCATATCACAGTGGGAGCTTTGAAGGAAAAAAGAGAGGCGAGGTAACTAGCCTCCACTCTTGGACATTCTGATTCAGCAGGCCTGGATTAAAGCCTAGAAATATATGCCCAGCAGTTTTAAGAAGCCACTGATCTGGCCAGGCGCGGTGGCTCATGCCTATAATCCCAGCACTTTGGAAGGCTGAGGCAGGTGCATCACTTGAGGTCAGGAGTTTGAGACTAGCCTGGCCAACATGGTGAAACCCTGTCTGTACTAAAAATACAAGGCAAAAATTGGCCAGGCGCGGTGGCTCATGCCTGTAATGCCAGCACTTTGGGAGGCCAAGGCAGGCAGATCACGAGGTCAGGAGATTGAGACCATCCTGACTAACACAGTGAAAACCCATCTCTACTAAAAATACAAAAAATTAGCCGGGCGAGGTGGCGGGCGCCTGTAGTCCCAGCTACTCGGGAGGCTGAGGCAGGAGAATGGCGTGAACCCAGGAGGCGGAGCCTGCAGTGAGCCAAGATGGCGCCACTGCACTCCAGCCTGGGCGACAGAGCAAGACTCCGTCTCAAAAAAAAAAAAATTTAAAAATAAGAAAAAAATTAGCTGGGCATGGTGGTATGTGCCTGTAATCTCAACTACTTGGGAGGCTGAAGCAGAAGAACCCCTTGAACACTGGAGGCAGAGGTTGCAGTGAGCAGAGGTTGCACTAGTGCACTCTAGCATGGGTGACAGAGCAAGACTCCGTCTCAAAAACATTAAAATAAAAAGAAGCCACTGATCTGGTCAAATATCCATCACTCAACTCCTAGGCTTCTTTTAACTCACCATATATTAAATAATAACCATTCTACTCATTGTTGTATGGCTGTGAAGTTTCCTGGTGGGGGTTCCCCAGTACCTGCATAGGCTAAGGTATCAAGAGGAGGCAAAAAGCTGAGGTCACGGGAAGTTCATTTAGAAGCTCGTTGAAGCTGCTTACATGACTTTAGACCTCAGGGAAGGGCAGAGAAAAGCTGGCTGACCTGGAGAACCCCTGTGATCCTGTAGTGCAGCACAGACCTGTCCGATTTTCAGGGACTCTTGCTTCCAGGACTTTGCTCTTCAGGAACTCCTGCCCTTCCCCAAACCAGCAGCTGCAACCAAAAGTACCCTGGAGGTGGGTGAACAGCGATTCAGTGGCTGGATGAACCAAGGACAGCCACTCCCATCCATTCTCGCTCTGACCTTCCCTGACACGCGTGTGGGATTCAGGCCACTCTGTTGATGATATGAGAGTTTTTACAGGACCAGGAAATGAGGGCTAACACTCACCTGGGTCTCTTCTTCAGCTAGATGTGAGAAGTGTTGGCTTACCTTCCAGAGCTGGCACAGGGTTCCCCAGCCTCCTATTCTCACCACCGTAGCATTCAGGAAGCTGCCTCGTGGGCCAGGGAAGACCAGTGATTGGTCTTGGGCTATGCAGCAATGCAGCATGGGACTGAGGGTCACCGCTTCAGGCTGCAGATGGGATGTCATGTACTGCTGTGGTGACCCCTCCACTCACGTCAGGCTCACTCCTTGTCCTTTTTTCTCTCAATGCCTTGTGAAGTGAAGTCACCCCCGGGGATCCCTCCGAGCCCTGCCCCTGCCATTGCCACCTTCAGCCAAGCCCCAAGCCAGCCTCAGACATCGCAGACCCTGACGCCACTGGCTGTACAAGCTGCCCCCCAGGTAAGGGCTGCCCTCGGGAGCTGGAGAGGGCTGGGGGCAGAAGCAAGGCATGGGACAGCCAGCATGGGGAAGCCATGGAATCTGGGAACTTCATGGGGCAGGACAGGGAAGGGGCTATGGCTTGAGGGAGGGACTCTCCTACCAGGGACCTCCAGCTTCACCCCTGCCTATATCAGGCCCATTTGGAAAAGGGGATCTGCATTTGCAGAATCTTCTTGCGCCCAGCCAGGGTTGCAGAAATAACATTAACTCTTTCATGCAGCCAGAGTTTCTGTTTATTGAATGACTAAATGAATGAATACCCTTGCCAGCCCTCCAGTGGATGCCTGGAAGAGTTAATGGATTGTTCAGAGTCCTCGTTTAGAGCCAGGGAGTGGCCCCAGCACCGTGAGAGGCTGCCTGCAGAATCCTGCAGGCATGCAGAGCTCCCTGTCCCTTTCCCTACATGCCCTGACTCCGAGGCATCCAGCCAAGGGTATGGTCCATCAGAAACTTCTCAGAGGCCTTTGTGGGGCCTTGACCACTTGGTTCCATCAGCCGCTGCTCCCTGTTCCCTGGCCACTAAGCACAGGGCCTGTCAGCAAGGGCCCGCAGAAGGCCTGGCAGGCAGCAGGCTGTGGTGGGGGAAGCCTGTGCCCCCTTCCCATCCTGTGAGCAGGGCCACCTTGCCCTGGATTTGGGCGATTTCTCTGAAGGCAGGATAGTCAGTCCAGGCACCCCCTCAGGTTTGGGCCTGCAGCTAGGGTTTGGCTCTTCCCCACCCTCATGTGGCCTTTGCCCCATCGCCCTCAGAATGCTTTGTTTGTGCTCAGCTGGGTCTCAGAGACCCAGTGTTTGCGCTGTCGATGTTGATTTTTTATTTTTTCTTTTCTTTTTGAAATCTTGTTTGCTTTTGCAGGTCTTGACTCAGGAAAACTTAGCCACAGTTCTGACAGGAGTTATGGTTCCAGCAGGGGCAGTTACTCAACCTCTTCTTATCCCCATCAGTATTGCAGGTCAAGTGGCTGGTCAGCAGGGGCTGGCCGTGTGGACAATTCCTACAGCAACCGTGGCTGCCCTCCCAGGACTGACCGCTGCTTCTCCTACGGGGGGAATTTTCAAGCCACCTTTAGCCGGTCTCCAAGGTAACGGCAACTCTTCCCAGGACTGCATCAGGCCCCCCACCACCCTCCACTACACCCCCGCACGTGTGCTTGCCATGTTGGACTCAGAACCCACGGCCCACCCAGGGCAGCCGCCCTGGATTCTGGATCCGGTGTCTTGGGCATCCGGCCGCAGAGCTGCCGCACCACCTCGGGACTGTAGGCCGTGACACCACGCTGGCCCTGCAGGCCTGTCTTACTTCAGCCGGCTGTCTGAGACTGCCCCTCTCCCCCTACGCCAGAACTCACCCCATGGCCAGCCTCCTGGGAAGGACTGCAAGAAGATTCAACATCTGGTTCTTGAACCTACACATCTGGCCCCAGGGAGGGGGGATGAGAGATGCTGGCATGTGCCAGCCCTTCAAGGATCAAGGGAATCGTGGCTGCCTGCCCCACTGTGCCCACTGACCCAACCCCCTCTCCTTCTTGTGCCAGATCCCTTGGGATTGGAGCCGCTCTGGGCAGTGGCTAGGCATTTGAGCACCTCTGTCTCTGCCTTGCTCCATAGCAGCTGCTGTGCTGAACACCGCTCTTCCGGCACCCGTACAAGCTGCCGCACCAGTACAGGCCTCCTCAACAGCCCAACCCCGGCCACCAGTCCAGCCCCAGACGCTGTTCCAGACCCAGCCGCTGCTGCAGACCACGCCTGCCATCCTCCCGCAACCCACTGCTGCCACCGCTGCTGCCCCTACCCCCAAGCCAGTGGACACCCCCCCGCAGATCACCGTCCAGCCTGCAGGCTTCGCATTTAGCCCAGGAATCGTAAGCTGCTGCCCTCACCCAGGGCTGACCAGGGATGGACAGAATCATGGGCCAAGGGTGGAACTGACCCTTCCCACAGTGGAGGACGAGCCCCCCCGAACACAGCCCTTTTCCAACACATCAGCAGAGATGGGCTCCCTCTGAGGCCTTCTCCTTGCAGTTGCCAGCCTGTCCATCCCAGATAAAAGCAGACAACATCTGCCAAGAGGTCTGGGCACATTCTCCAGAACCTGAACCACTGGGCCAGGCTTGGAGGGTGGGATGACGTCTGGGGATTGAAAACTTGTGAGCTGTCACTAAGGTGCAGCCAGAGCTTACAGCTCTATGCTGGTCTGTCCAGTGTAGCTCCTGGCTTGGCAGTGGGAGCTGTTAGATATGGCTAGGATCACATCAGCCTCTCAGGTGTGACCCTTCTACCCTGGCAGAAAGATTAACCAGAGTTACTTTTCCATGACTGTGGCCCCCCCTTCCCCGCTGACCCCTGCAGCCCCTAGCCCTGGAAACCATCCAGCTGGTAGACATGGGCCTGAAGCCCACCATCATATCTACCCACCCCAATGCCCTCTGTCCTCTTCCCTCTGCCCAGGGGTCTTCTCACCCCTCGGCTTCTGAGAAAGGCTCTTCCTCCACCCACAGATCAGTGCTGCTTCCCTTGGGGGACAGACCCAGATCCTGGGGTCCCTCACTACAGCTCCAGTCATTACCAGCGCCATTCCCAGCATGCCGGGGATCAGCAGTCAGATCCTCACCAATGCTCAGGGACAGGCAAGTGGCCAAAGGCAGGGCTGGAGGGTGGGGACTGCGGAGAGGCTGGCCAGGGGAAGGCGGCCAGGACTTGGGCGGTGGGTCATAGAAACTCGAACAGATGTCAAGCTGCTGTTCCTATCTCCTCGGTGGCGGCTTTCTGCCGATGCTGAAGCTGGTCAGGGGTGTACCCACCACCGTCCTGGAGGTGCTCACATTACATGGGGGTTTTCATTTACGGAGCACCCATGTTGTGGTCAGGCTTTGTGATGGGTGCTTTCTCATACATCATCTCACTTTCTTTGGAGTACAAATCTATTAGGTGGAGATTTTTATTCCCATCTTACAGGACAGAAGGCTGAGGTTCAGAGCAATGAAAGCCACACAGCTAAAATGTGGCAGAACAAGGCAGGTCTCTCTGAATCCACATCCAGACCTATTCCTGCTCCACCACAGCTCTGAGGATGGAATAAAGGAAGTAGCCCTTAGAGTGTGAATCCTGCACTTTACTCATGCAGAAACTGAGGCCAGAGCAGCTTGAGGGATTTGTCCATTAGTCTCTTCCCCTGGCGGTGTGGGGATTTGGGTCTGGGGTGGAGCTGGATCCTACCCTCACACCTGGGGTCCCTGCCTTGTTTCCTCCCAGGTTATTGGAACCCTTCCATGGGTAGTGAACTCAGCTAGTGTGGCGGCCCCAGCACCAGCCCAAAGCCTGCAGGTCCAGGCTGTGACCCCCCAACTGTTGTTGAACGCCCAGGGCCAGGTGATTGCGACCCTGGCCAGCAGCCCCCTGCCTCCACCTGTGGCTGTCCGGAAGCCAAGCACACCTGAGTCCCCTGCTAAGAGTGAGGTACAAGGGCTGGGGGTGGTGGGGCGTGGCACAGGCTCTGCCATCTGGCACCGGCTGCTTCCCTCCAGACTGCCAGGCAGGACAGCATCTTCCGAAACTCCTAGGAGAGCAGGGCACCTCCTAAAGTGGGGGAGGTCCCACAGTAGAAAACCCACATGTGTCCACCCAGGTTCAGCCCAGGGAAACAGCTTCACAAGACCCCCTACTCACACACACCCAAAATATGTATATGTGCCCTCAGAGGCCAGTGCTGTTCTAAGAAGGTCAGGGAGGTAGGTGATGGTCAAAGTAGACTGGGCCAGGATCGGCTTTAGGGTGAGCAATCTTCCTGAAAAGCCCTGGGAAGTCAGTTTTGTATTCGCTTCCTCTACCCCTCCATCTCTCCACCTCTCCACTCTCATTCTAGGAGTATTTTTTGAGTGCCTACTGTATTCCAAGTGCTGAAAACACAAAGATGAATAAGATGTCCTCCTAGCCTTAGGTAGCTTGGCATTGGAGACAAGTTAGTGGGACAAAACTATCACAGGGACACACAAATAAGGTGGTTTGGGGCCCCAGAGAACCAAGCTCTCGACAAACTTGGAGGTTAGGCAAGACTTCATAGATGAGGGACATTGGACTATCATAAAGAGATGAAGCCGGCGTGGTGGTGCTCACCTGTAGTCCCAGCTACTCAGGAGGTTGAGGCAGAGGATCACTTGAGGCCAAGAGTTCAAGGCTGCAGTGTACAATGATCATGGCTGTGAATAGCCACTGCACTCCAGCCTGGACAACATAGCAAGACCCCATATCTAAAAATAAAAAGGGATGAGTTGGATATGAGAGTGTTCTACCTTCAGAGAACTGCAGCAAATATCACATGCTAGAGCAGCAGTTCTCAAGCCTGTGCATCAGAATCCCCTGGAGGCCTTGCTGGAATGAAGATTCCTGTGTCCCACCTCAGAGTTTCTTATTCAGTAGATCTGAAGTGGAGTCCAAGAGTTTGCATTCCTAAGTTCCCAGGTGATAATAAGGCCAGTGGTTCACAAATGTAGCATGCACCTCCAAGTTTTGTAAATAACCTCTTAGCTTTATCTGTGAATAGAGATCATAAGGGTACCAACTTCAGAAGGTTATGAATGCTGAAGGATATATTATACATAGGCAATGAACACTGGCGCACAGAAAGCACTTGAAAAACAAACAGTACTTCTTCTTGTAATTACCAGTATCAGGTAAGGTACTAGGGAACTGCTGATGCTGAAGGGCTTTAGCAAGGAAATGGCTGACCGGATGTGCTTTTTTTTTTTTTTTTTTTTTTGAGACCAGGGTCTTGCTCTGTTGCCCAGGCTGGAGTGTAGTAATGTGAGCTCGGCTCACTGCAACCTCTGCTGCTAGACTCAATCAATCCTCCCACCTCATCCTCCCCAGTAGCTGAGACTACAGGTGTGCACCATCACACCTGGTTAATTTTTGTATTTTTTGTAGAGACGGGGTTTTGCCACATCGCCCAGGCTGGTCTTGAACTCCTGGACTCAAGTGATCAGCCCACCTCAGCCTCCCAAAGTGCTGGGATTACAGGCATGTGATACTGTGCCCAGCTGAGAGATGCATTTTTTAAAAATCCCTGTTATAAGCTGGGCACAGTGGCTCATGCCTATAATCCCAGCACTTTGGTAGGCCGAGGCAGGTGGATCACCTGACGTCAGGAGTTCAAGACCAGCCTGGCCAACATGGTGAAACCTCATCTCTACTAAAAATACAAAAATTAGCCAGGCATGGTGGCAGGCTCCTGTAATCCCAGC